TTAGTAATTATGTAATTTTTACAATTTATTGATTATTGAGTAATTTAATATATTTTCAGTATTTATTATATTTTTGTGATTATTGTATTTTTATTTGATATCTATTGTATTTCCACCATAAATTCATTTTCAACAATTGTGTATTTTTGCTATAAATTTTCAATAATTATTGGAGATTAAACTATTTTTATTTATTAGAGATTAGACTATTAATTTAGTTGAAATTAGGAGTGTTCAAGGATCGGTTCATTTTAGTTTTAGGTTGATTCGCCAACCAAATCGACTAGGTTAGCTCAGGAGTTTGTCACCCAAAATCAACTAACCATTAGTGAAAACCTACCAACTCGGCTTGTATTTGTTTGGGTCTATTTTCTGTTTGGTTTGTTTATTCAAAAGATTTAAAATTTAAAATTAAAATTAAATTTAATAAATTACAATGGTATTATTAAAAAATAAATTAAAAACTTAAATTTATGATATAAAATATTTTAGACTAAGAAATATAGGAATTTTCCCACTTTCTCATATTAAAAAAATATATTTAAAATATAAAATATTAATATATATCTATGGTTGGGTTGGTTCAGTTTTGGTCGATTAACAAATGGGCAAACTGAAACTTACCTAACTTGGTCAGATTGGAAAAATTGTTGAGCCAAAGCCAATAAGGAATACTAGAAAACTGACCAACTTGGGTCGAGTTTCGGTCAAATTGGTTATTAAAAATTTAAAATATAAAATAATTATATACTCTTATGTATTTCTATTGGTTAGCTTTCGCTTAACAAAACCCGTACATTGCACGGGTCCCCGTTAGTATATATATAGCAAGACGGTCGAATCAACATTCTTTCTTGCTCCATTACCCCACCCTACATTTTTGTTGACTCTCTCTCTCTCTCTCCTCTCCCCTTCCCACCACTGCCATTATGCCATATCACCATTCCCAATCCAACTACCTAAAAATATTCCTACAATCTCTCCTAAGGTATCTCCTCTAAGCCATTAAGAATTTGTCATGTTACCCCACTCCTAATCAATTCCTAAAATCTCTCCCCCAAATCTATATCCATTCTCTCTCATTTAAAATATTCATATTAGTTAATAAATAATTAAATATGGTTAATATTTAATCCAACACATATTCAAAGAGTATTAAATAGTGTTATTACCAAAACTTAACAAATACAATTAGTATATTACCAAAAATTAATAAATATTGATATTAGTTAATTCATCATGACTTTTTTAAAGTATTTTGGGTAAATACTATTATATTCATGTTAATTAACAATATTTTATAGAAATTGAAAGTCTTTAACTAATTTCTATAAAATTGAGAATTATATTTAACAATTATCAAAACGTATAAAATTTTATTTATTGCTATTATTATAGTTAATAATCAAATGCAAATGGGAGAATAAAATATTATAATGTTGGAAAATGAAATTATTAATTAATTTATATTGGAAAATAAAAGATAAGTTATTGTAATTTTGTTAGTAAGCTACCTAATAAAAATAAATATTTAATAACAATTTAAAATAATTTTTAATGAATCTTCATAATTACATAAATGTAATAAAAATTTCAAAAATTTTCATAAAACTACATTTTCATAAAATAAAATTTTGGAAATTAAAAGATATAATTTTTTTGAAAGTTTATTTAAAATGTATTAAATAATTATTGAAAATTATTGGAATATTTTGGAAAATTTATTACATTTGGTAAATTTTAAAAAACTATTAAAAAATTATGTAATTTTCATTATAAACTATTAAAAATTATTAAAGATAAATGAGTAGGGGAAAGGGAAACTATAATTTGAATCAATAATTTGTATAATATTGGAAAAATAAAATTATTAATTAGTTTATATTAGAAAATATAAGATAAATTTGTGTAATTCTATAGGTCAACCATTTAAAAAGATAATAAATGATTTAATAAAAATTTAAAAATAAAATTTTAAAACTACACAAATGTAATAAAATTTTCACTATTTTCATAAAATTACATTTTTGAAAATTAAAGACAATTTAGTGTACTTTTAAAATTTACCATGTGGTTGATACTTAGTATATCTTTTTGATCATTTGTGTCATCAAATTGAATATTGGGTTGACAAGGGAGTGGGTGCCTTGCCTTGAATCTGCTCGACACTAGGAACGGGGTGAAGAAAATTTGAGGATTCCCCATCCTTGATTAGGAGTGGGTGCCTTGCCCTGAACTCACCCAACATTGAAGATGAGGCAGGGAAATTCAAGGATTCCCCATCCCTAATGGGGAGTAGGTGCCTTACCCTGAACCCGTCTGACACTAGGGACGGAGTGGGGATGGGGTAGAGTGTCTTGACTACGGGGTGGAGACAGGGATGGGGTGCCCCACCCCAAACCCACCCGGTTTTCATTCCTATATAATTATTAATTATTAGTGAAATTAATAAAAATGTTAGCTTTTATAATTGTTTTTATTTATTTAAAGTTAATCAAAATTTTATTTAAAAATATTGAAAATAATAATAGTTATTAAAATTACTACAAATGATTAATAAAATTAAATTTATTAAAAAATATTTAACAATAATTATTTTTCTATAAATCAACATTAAATGAAAAATAGAATTATTAAAATTTTGAATATTAACAATAACTTTGAATACTTTTAGTTAATTAACGACAATTTTTTATTATTTATCAATTAATTAATAGTAAATAAAATTATTCAATCTTTTAGATTTTTCCATACATCACACAGATATAAAACAAACATTTTATAAAATTTCTTAGAAAAACAAAAAATTTGAACCTTTGTTACCGGACTCTTTTTTTAGTAATGGGCTCCACAACAGGATTAACCCTCCCCAAAACCTCTAGACCCCTCATCCTAGGTGAAGGCGGGACTCACTCCCTAGTCTCCACTTCAAATAGCCAGAGATTTTGCTAGTATACTCGGGGCCTGTTCACTTCCTCTTAACTCTTATCTCTTAAGAGAAATCTTTTAACTTTAAGAGAAAAGTGGTTGTCCGTTTCCTCTTATCTCTTATCTCTTAAAGTGCAATCATACAACTTTTTGTTTTCCAATGATACCCCCAAAAAGACAAACAAAAACTCTCATATTTGGGGTCAAAATAGATATTTGATAATTTTTGGAATTCAGAATTCAGAACAACATTCTTTGCATTCAAAATTTAGAGGAAAGAAAAATTCACCAATACCAATATACCTCTTAATGTAATTATTGCACTTTCAGATGTTAGACTTTAAAGCAAACGAACAGCCCTAGTTGTCACCTTTGACCGTATTTTGGTTAATTCGATGGGCTTTGGGTGGTAAATGTTTCTCTCTTTTGTTTTTTTTTTTTCAATAGAAAAGGAAGAATAACATTATTTATTTGGAAAATCATATATATGAGTCAATAGGTCTGGTTTCCCATCCGGTCCATGCAGCCACCTCCAAGAAAAATGGGAAAAAGAGAGACCATAATTGGCTACATCATTTATTAGTGATATAGTAAGAAAATTCATATCGTCAAGCTGGTTTGCCCGAGAGGTTAAGGGGGAAGACTTAAGATCTTCTGCACATAAGTGCGCATGGGTTCGAACCCCATAGCCAGCACATATACTGTTTTTCTTCCAAAGATCTTAGAGGGTAGTTACTATTTAGTAATGATGGGTCCCGTTTGGTCTTTATCTTCACATACGCACCAATCCAACGGTTATAGGGACACGATTATAAGATAACTCGTTCCATCAAATGGTGGGGTCCATTTTTTTAGTATGGTATGGGACACATGACAAGTTATTAATATTCGGCCATAGTTTGCTTCATTTTCTATTGAAATCCTTTGGTGAAGTTCTCTAGCAATTATTTCATTAAAAAAAACACTTTTCTAAACCTCTAACATGGCTTCTTTCTTAGAACAATTATCTCCCAAAAAAGAGCCTTAGGTGATTGTCTCTTAATTTCAAAGGCAAATATCAAGTAGAAAGAGTAACGAGTATTGGTCAATTGAGATAGAATCACATAAAATGGAACGTCTACACATAGGTTACATTATATTACTTCTAACTTTTCAAGCATTCAATTTCAATCCACAGAGAAAAGGCAATATCAGAAGGGAAGAATATTGTTGCCATTAAGATCAGAAATAAATATATAATAGTCAATCCATCTTTGCAAGATTTGCTAAAGATGGCCAACCTGTGTTTTTTCTTTCTTGAGAGCTGAGATATTGTAGATTGTAGTAAATTTTGCATGTAACATATAAAGATGCACCAATGTGTACGGTTTTTGCCATTCATGGGGCTTTGGTTAAATTTGTGACTGTCATGTTGCATCTCACCCTGGTTAGACAAATGAGAGCAATCTCTTTAGTTTATTTATTTATTTTTTCTTTTTCTCGTCATGTGCTCCTCTTCCTCTCCATCTAGGGTTAGAAATGGGTTTGCTAATGCATTCTATGTGGAAGATTTCATGAAAGTTATGAGTTGCAACTCAGACAACAGTTAGAGCTTAAAAAATGAGAGATGTGCTTCAAGCCTTCAACCAATCACCAAGTATTTTTAAACCTGGGTTGGCTTCAGTTAACAGTACCCGTTCCAAGGGGCCAAGAGCAGTCACTTTGGCAGCCTATTGAAGAAAGGCTTTCCCCTCCAAACTACATAAATAAATCAAGTTTTTATAATGATCAGTGTTTGGGCATAACAAGACCACAAAGGCTTTATCCTGCATACACCCATTGCTGTCTTCATTTGAAACCATTGGAAGGATCAAGCCCCAGTTATGATTTATGAAAGATTGTCCATGTAGAACAACAAAGACAAAAAAAATAAAAGGAAGAAACTAAACACCCCACTCAGACAGACTAGAACCCGTGTTCTCACATCTAGGTTAGATGTCCATTTAACAAACTAGTCACTGAGACACCAAGGTTAGATATTTCTGAATAAAAAATCATTACAATGAAGAAAAACATCCAATAGGAGTCTTTGTCATCCTTATCTCGAGTCCAGCAAATATTTTTTTTAGTTACATAATGTTGCCAATCCCTACTTCCCTAGCATCTCAGTTTTCAAGTTATGCTTCTTATGAACAAGAGAAGAAACTAAAACGCTACAATAACTATTGTAATACCATTTATCTTTGTAGTTGATCTTTTCACCTTACAAATCCAACCAACTTCCTTTTTTTATGGATAACATGAAAATTTTATTAATATAAGGAAAACAATCAGTTATAATTTGCAAGTGAAAATTGCAAAAGAAGCCCTTGCTACAGAGGGGTAAACAAACCCCTCTACGATGATATTTTGATGCTGACAGAATTTGTTCAACTATAGCTTCCTTGATTAAATTTGTTGGTAAACCAATCATCTAAGGCATCACAGGCAAAGCTGAAAACCCAAAAGTTTTCAATCACTCGCAGCTCTACAAAAAGTGAATGCCATAGAATTCAGAACAACAAACTATAAGGAATTAATGATCACCTGATAAAATAAAGAATGGAGAGTTGCCTTTTGTCAGAAAACCATTGAATAAATGCAATACAGTTCACAGAAATTCTCATATATCCTGCATCACATCACAATCAGAAATTGTGTTAAAAGTCACTGGTATAATGAGGCACCAAGGACATCAAACAAGTTTCTTTTTTTTTAGATAGATAACTCATAACTGTGAAATTTTATTAAAAAATTAATAAAAAGAGAATGCAAGCATGCTAAGCATCCCAACTAGAGGCACAAGGTGCAGCCTCACAAATACAAAAAAAGCCACAATTGAGCCCAATACAAATGATCCCTATTCACCCATTGTTTAGCTAGCATATCTGCCATCCCATTTGCAATCTCCTATCCCATTGAATCCTCATGATCATATTGGCAGTTAACCACTTGAATATCTTGATATCCTCTCTGTAAGTCTAGATTACTGAGTCCAGGTCCTTAATCCATCGAACCATTAGGGGGTGTCAATTGGACTGGATTTGGTCCAATCCGATCCAGTCCATCATTGGTCCATTTAAAAATGTACTGGACCAAATCCGGTCCAAACCTCATACAAACTGGATCCAATCCGATCCAATTGAAATGCAAATGGACTGGATTGGACCCAATCTAGTCCAAACTAAATGAAACTTTAAAATTTACATGTGAGTACCTGGTGAAAATATCCACAACAATAATCATGAAAAATGTACACCTGAAAACTAGATAACTTTATTCAGATCCAGAAGGACTTGAGTACCCAAGGTTAAAATTGAACCAGGTGAACATCCAAGGCTTTGATCCAAAATAATAAAGCAATCAGTATACACAAGCAACTCACTATCCTGAATCAAATGAAATATTCACTGTCAAAACAACAACCATATGGCCAATGGAAACTGTATGTTCTAATAGCAGATGAATAGATTCATGTACCATTCATGTTACAAGTAACCTTAAAATGGAATACTGGTGTGAGAAATTCGAGCCAACTATATACAAAACAGCAACAAAGATTTTGAGCTGACCAATATTTTGCATTATCCAATGTGTCTATGGTCACCATAAGAAAACACTGAGAGCTGGTATTCAGAAAAGAACTTGAACAAAAGCAGCTTTTGTGGCACCGGACAGCATCTCTACATTTGAACTTGCCGCCTCCTTCCTGCAGCCGCCAAACATCCAGTTCGATCTCCAACTCTGTGGGAGAAAGCAAGATTCGATCTTGTCATCAGTTCTTTGTGAAAGAATTGATTGGAAGCTGTGCTCACGTGCCATCCTGTTGTTTCTTGCGAAGGACAGAGTTCTTGGAGAAGAACACTGCTGATTCTGCTCCATCCTACACTGCGCCATCTTCAGTGGGAG